AGTCGTAACTTTGTAACAAGTGTTTCAAATTTGTCACGTGCAGTTAATAACAAAAACCATATATATTGTCTTGATTTATATGTCAATCATGTTTTGCTGAAGTACCTTGAACGGTAGGTATTTCCGTCTAGACCTCACGTATGGATGTATACGATGCTGACTGTATGTGGGCCGGCAATGGACAACAGTGAACTCTTTCATGGAATTTAATACGTTATGCACGTGCCTCGACACAGTCTCCCCAGAATGTTGGAACCGTTCCTGGATTTCCCGATTTTGCTTCCCTTTCAAGACATGGATAAACATCGCAACGCTTTCTTCAACAGCTAAGCCATGTGGACGTTGCGGGACTTGTAACCCAAAATCATTTACTAATGTCTCACACAATGCGGCAAAAACTTCCTTCGGCATGCAAACATTTTCCTCAAAGCGACCCATATGCCCCGCATATAGTTCGCATATCCATGTATTCCCGGTTAGTATAGAAGTGCGACATGGCGTTTTATGCATGTGTTTTTGGTACCATTCTGTCGCCAAGTGGCATGCTTGTAGAAATGTGCAGTTCTGTTCTTGTTGCAGCTGGACCGCCATTTGATTCAGCATTTCCATTATTTCATCATGGTTGCTTAAATCTAGGCTAATAACCGGAATAAGAACGCATAATGTTTTCAAAACTAGATATCATGGTTAGTAGAGGCCGATCTTTGATCGGGCGAGCGGGGGTGCTCACGAAGTGACCTTCCCCAATCGTATCCAAGTTCCCGAACCGAGGCAACTTTGGTGATGGCGGACACGTGGCCTTAGGCAATGAGTCAGGGTTTCCTAAATTTCCCCAAAATAAAATATTTAGATGGCGACTCTGTATCTGGCAAAGCAGTCCATGTTTGGCACTTCTTTCAAAAAATCTGTTTTCAAAAACGATTTGCCGGATTTGGACTCTTTGATGATTTCATCGGTCTTGCATTGCACTCCGCGATATTAGGTACAGGACCGTGACACAAATTGAGTCCGAACAGTAGCGAGGCCCAAGGGCGCGTCTACAGCTGGCAAGGGCTCTTGGGCTGCAACGAAGACAAATAGCTATATGGTTTCAGAACATGAGGGCTAGGTGGAAGACAAAGCAGTTAGAGAAAGACTATGATGTTCATAAGAGACAGTTTGATGCTATCAAGGCTAATAATGATGCTCTCCAATCTCAGAACCAGAAACTTCAAGCTGAGGTATGGTTTTCGAAATTTTAGTTTTTTCGAAAACAAAAATAATGAGGAGTTCAGAAACACTCATCGTTTTCGTTTTTATTTGAAAACAGCTGTTGAAAATTTGGAAAAGTTTTTGAAAGTGTTTTTCTAAAAGACGGGTGTTTTTAGAAATTGCCAAACAAAGTTTTCAGATCATTTTTTTTAAAACAAAATTTGAAAACAAAACCAAAGGAAATTAATTCCAAAATTATTTTGATGCTTTGGGAAGATGCATGTGTTGATAACTGTTAGATTTTAGTTTGGACAAAATTCTCCTTCTTTATTGCCAATTGAGTAAGCAACTTTTCTTTTCTTTTGTTTTTGTTTTTGTTTTTGTTTTTGTATTTTTGTTTTTTTTTTTTTTTTTTTGGGTGGATTGATTAAGAAGAAGAAAAGAAAATCAATTTGAATCACTTTAGATAGCCATAATTATGGTCGTCATTTTGGGTGTTGTTTCTGTTTTTCAAGTTTTCAGAAACAAAAACAATGAGCAGTTCAAAAACACCAATTGTTTTCATTTTTTTGTGAAAGTAACTTTGAAAATTTAAAAAACAATTCAAATAAGCTTTTTTCAAAAAACTTCAATTTTCAAAAACAGTTGGCAAGCAAATTTTCTGAGTCAACTTCTATTTTTTGTTTTCCAAAGTAAGAGACTATACTAAACTCACCCATAGAGTTGTTGATTTTCATTCCATTCTGTTGCAAACACAGAAAAGAGCATAAAAGACGCATTAATGAAATAAAATTTTATAAAATTCGCTGATGAGGCCCACTTTAAAAAAAAAAAATTTGTCTTTCATATATAGTAATGCTACAAATCCAGAAGATTTACTTTAGAAAATCACATAGAAAAAAAATAAAATAAAATAAAATAAATCAATAGTCTACATCTGTTTTGAGTGTGTATGATCTACATTCCATCAACTTTAAATTTACATCACACTCACTTTTAGAATAATATTCAAGATAAATTTTCATGAACCATTGCATTTTATTCCATATATATTTTATGTCCGATGCTATAATCAGTTTTTATGTATCCAAAACTTCTTGATTTTTCCTATCTAAAAAACGAACTTCCTGATTTTGAATCGAATGAATGAAGATAATAGCACTTAAAAATAGAGAGCCAACAAAATCAATAAACCTAAACAAAGAGATAGAGGGTTCAAGAAGCAACAGAAGTGAAAACAGCTCAGAGATCAAGCTAGACATCTCAACAAGGACCCCACCAGCCATGGACAGCCCTTCATCAAACCATCATCATGGCCATCCAATTATTCCAACAAGCAGCAGTACACCCCTCTTTCCACCCTCCATCATCACCAGGCCCACTTCTGCTGCCATGGCCCACCTCTTCCTAAACTCTTCTTCTTCATCAAGACAACCTGACCACAAGATCATTGATCATCAAAATGCTATCAAAGAAGAAAGCTTTTCCAACATGTTTTGTGCCATTGATGATCAATCTGGGTTTTGGCCATGGTTGGAACAACAACACTTCAATTGAATTGAAACCCCCCCTTGGCTGTATTAGAATCAACAATGCTATATATTCAGAAAAAAAAAAAAAAAAAAGAAGAAGTAATGTTACATGTAATCTCATTTGTTATCTTATTTTCTCACTTGAGACCCAATTACTGTGTTTAGAGATGAGAAAATACGATAAGAAATCTATATAATATGAGAAGAAGGTTTTTGAATTTTTGTGAGATTCACGACATTGTTGGGCCAATGTTCGCTGGAAAAACAACAGCTCTCCTTTGTCGGGTCAAATCTGAGGGCAACAATGGCAGGTACTTTGTTGACTTTGTTAATTTCGTGAATTTGAGTTTAATTCGGATATTCTGAGAAGTAGCTAGAGATATAAGCTTTACCCAGATTTGTGCATTTTATTCTCAACACTTTTATGGTGTTATGTAGTTAAGAAATTCTGAATGTTAATTAATTGTAGATGATAACAATGTGTTAAGTTTATGTTGGATGCATAAAGAATTTTATTTTATTTTAACTATTATTTTGGGGCCAACCATGTAAATGTAGAAATGTTGCAATAATAAAGTCAAGCAAGGATACGAGATATGCGGTTGACTCGGTGGTGACACATGATGGGACAAAGTTTCCCTTTTGGGCGTTGCCGGATCTGTTGTCATTTGGGCAAAAATTTGGAGATGAGGCTTATGCCAAGGTATTTCAAACTTGAACCATTTGATTTGTGTTTTTTTTTTTTATAAATTTTTTTTTTTTTTGGTTCAGTTTATGGTGTCCCAGTCGTTCTATGGGCTTGGTAGCTTCATAAGTTGGATGTGTTTGATATATTGTAAGTGATATTGAAGTGATGTTACTATAATCTTCATGGTTTTATGTAAGAAGAATTTGATTGTTTCTTGTGGCTTGACATTGTACAAGTCACTTTTCTAATTATTGGTGTTGGCAAACCATATGTGAGCTAATTTAACTGGTAGACAAGTAATCTTAACTGTTTAGGCTCTCTTTTTTATTTTTTTAAAAAATGTGAAACCAAATGCTATTCATGATTAACACCATTGCAGTCCTATATTTAAGTTTGGAGTTTTTTTTTTTTTTTTTAATGCCTTTTCTATTATCTTCTAAATGTTGGTTACATGTTGGCAGCTGGATGTGGATTGGCATTGATGAAGCTCAATTTTTTGGCGACCTTTATGATTTTTGCTGCAAGGTTGCTGACCATGATGGGAAAACTGTAATAGTTGCTGGGCTAGATGGGGACTACTTGAGGTTTTTCTTATAGATTAATTCATTTTTTTTTTCTTTTCCTTGATGCAAATTTGTGACGGGCCTTTGTTGTGGTGTTTTTGCTTGATAATATAAATATTTTTCGTATGCCCATGCCTAGGCATACACAAAATTCATGTTAAAGTCAATAAATTTGATAAATTACATTTTAAATCAATACTTTTAAATTTAATTATATTTTAATCTTATAATTAATTATATTATTTCTTTTAGACACGGGTATACACTAGGGTGACACATTACTTTCACGGGTGATACATTTTTTAATTTTTATGGGTGATACATTTTTAAACCTCCAGACCAACCCCAGGGACTTACCTGATTAGAAACCCATACTTTATGATAAATCAAAATTTTATACTTATCAAACTCACCATAAATTAGATTTGTACTATTTATCAGCCCATAAATCAGTAGTTTGAAGGTGTTAAAATCAGAAGGTGTTAAAATCTCTTGCTAGATAAATTATAGTTGTTGCCAAGGATATGCGGGCGGAATGTGATTCGCTAGATGGAAAAAGAAGCAAGAAAAGCGATAGAAAGTATAGTCTTAAAAAAAAAAAAAAAAAAAGGAAGCTTTGGGTGACCCACCACCAACCCGGGAAGGGGGTCCAAAAATTTCACAACTTCTGGAAAATCACAATACTGTATTTATTATTATTTTTATTTTTAGAATCTTAATTTATTTAGCTTTTATTGTTTGTTGGACAAACTATTAAATTGAAATTCTTAAACAACATAATAATTATTTATTTGATAGTATTATATATATCAATTGGAATAATTGTTAGTTTTTATTGAAATTTTTAAACAACAAAATAATTATTTGTTTATTGGCAGTGGGAGTATTTTGCTGCTTTTTCGTGGGCTGCATCACCAGAGTTCTGGGTAATTTCATTGTTATTTTATTCGAGTTCTATAAAACGTGTGGTATAAATAAAATTGTTTTAAGTTTTTTAAAAAGAATAGTATTTCTTTATATTTTTTCAATATTTTTGTCAAAGCATATTACAGACTCTATAAATTTTTATGTGATACGTATGAATTACAATTGTATTTTGATCACAACATTATTTGCACCGTGCCTTTAGGCACAGGCATACACTAGTATATATATATAATAGAGATAAGTCTTTATCCATTCATAGGCTACATTGTTATTGTAACACATCGATGCATAAATGGTATCTATATGATTGAAGACAAAGTTATGGTTTTTTATTTTTATTTATTTATTTTTAAACTAATGGGTTAAGGGTTTTGAAACGGAAAGAAAATTAAAGTAGAAGCAATGAGATTACAAAGTTTTGGTTTAGCATATTTGGACTATCAATAAAAGACATACATATTCTTATCCTAACAAAATATAATTAAATAAAAGACTTGCATTCTTTAATACTGTTGGTAAACAAGCAGTAAGATCACTAAAAGGACAACCCTTGAAAAAAATATTTGATTTATTCATTAGAAAGTGACTTTCCATCAACTCTCTTTTTATGTTGAGTTTTATATACTTCAATTACTATTAGGCACCAAGACTTCCTGTCACTCCTTTCAAAGTCTAACATCAGATAAGGAAGGCTCTTCTTCCTTGACATAATAGTTTGTTCAAATGCTCAATATATATATATATATATATTATTCAAGTAATCCCACCGGCCACTTGAAGATCAAAGAACATATCTTCCTATCTCAATATTATCAACCATCAAATTATGCAAGAATTTTAAAACACAAATTTCGAAACATGATCCAATAATTAAATTTTTTGAAAACATTACATGCCTACAAGGGTAGGCCAAGTGGAATCCTGTCCCATGATCTGATTTTTAAAATTAATAATTAAATTATGTGATTGTGATTGCATGAGACTTCGACAAATAATTTTGAAATAGAAGACTTCGTGCTTTTGTGGTGATAGGGACAGTCCCTGTTACCTACAGATCAATTAAGTTCAGCAATCAAATAGAGTCCCTAACACCACTACTCTTAACAGCCATTGTTCAAGATCTTTGAATAAACAAAATGGGATACATATAGTTTGTTCAAATGCTCAAAATATATATACATATATATATTATTCAAGTAACCCCACTGGCCACTTGAAGATCAAAGAACATATCTTCCTATCTCAATATTATCACCCATCAAAATATGCGAGAATTTTAAAACATAAATTTCCAAACATGATCCAATAATTAAAATTTTTGAAAACATTACGTGCGTAGAAGGGTAGGCCAAGTGAAATCCTGTCCCATGATCTGATTTTTAAAATTAAAAATTAAATTATGTAATTGTGATTGCATGTGACTTAAAATAATTTTGAAATAGATCTTGTGCTCTTGTGGTGATAGGGACAGTCCCTGTTACCTGCATATCAATTAAGTTCAGCAATCAAATCCCTAACACCACTACTCTTAACAGCCATTGTTCAAGATCCTTGAATAAACAAAATGGGGTACACAAGGTCAAAGTGGTCATAAGAGGGTGCTTAAGTGCATTGAGGTTAAATCTCAAATCAAGTCAATAGAATGACATCAGCCTGTTGTAATAATCTAACATCTTACCATGTGACTAAAAGAAAAGGTCCCACTTCACAAACAAAATGACATTAGTTTAACCAACAAATTCCTCAAACAGATGCAGCACTATGTTCATTTTAATAACTAAACAAGAAAATAAATGTTTATCCAGTCCTTTAATATCAATGACATGTTTTCTAAAGTTACCTTGTGTGGATAATCAATGTACAACAAGACATGCAGCAGCATAGTAGAGAAAACTCACAAGAAAATAAAACTACTGAACAAATCTCACGCTTAGCCAAAATTATCTGAAGAAATATGCTCAAGGAATAGCTAACAAAGGCCTCAGAAGTTACAAAATAGATGGATAAACCTGTACCATTAGCTTTGATGAACAAAATAGGGGAAAATAAGTGGGGAAGAGGTGTTTGGGATGGTGTAGTCAGAGATTTGTAACCACACCACGCTCTCCCTAAGCCTTAAAAAATGCGACTAAACTGACAAACCTACCTCTTTCTACGAGCGCTGGAACTGGAGTACCAAAGCTGAACTACTGGCTTTACTTCGGTTCCTTACCTGGTTCGGGTGCAGGCTCAAGTTCTCTGAAATCTTAACTTACAGCAATTCCTTCCTTCACTTACAGGCTTTCCTAGAAGTCAAAATCATGATCCTGTCCCCTCAACTATCAGTCAGTCCATTGACTAAGAATGGGGTCTGGAACAAGAACTTCACGAAAAGAAAAAGTGTACACAAACATGTGTGCACAAGAACTTTATGTTGCCGTATCAACAAAAACTCCTAGGTTCATCCATCCAGCAATGAAAATTTAGCTTTGAGGAATTTACGATGACTTTTGACAACGGTTAAGGTAGGCTGTGTAGGTTAGTGGTGGATGGATTCCTCTAATCAAGTTGACCTCAAACAAGTATTTTAACGAGTGTGTTCTCCTGGACCCCATATCTGAACACACGGCAATGATATAGCATATCGATAATCTGTGGCTACTTGATCCAGCAATTCAAACAGAGATAAGTTTTCCAAAATAAAGCTCTATTTTTTTATAGATAGGACCAAAATAAAGCTTAACAGCTTAACAAATTAGCAAAAGCAGCTTAATGATAGGGTAATTATTTCATTTCTATGTAATATAAAGCATAGTTATTGGCCCACAAGAAAAGGAATGAGAAAACTATAACCCTCAAAAATGTCTTTAATGTTTCAAGTTGTAGCCGGAGTATCAAGCCGCATATGATATCTGCAAACTGGAAGATGTTTCAGAATAGCTGTAAGCCATGGTTTTCTCAAGCCACCATCTGCAGGTTCATTTGCTCTCAATATCGTAGAGATCTGATCTGAACATGTACATCACGGAAATTACAGTATATTATGTGGACAATCAAATACAAGAGTATATGAACCATTTTTAAATATTTAGATGCAGCAGAGAGAGTTAACGTGGGTGTTTGGGAAGTGAGTTTTTATGTAGATTTTATTAGATGTAGGTTTTTATGAGATAAAAAATTTTTAGTGTTTGGGAAGATAGTTGGGTTTTTATGTGGTTGGATGTGATGTTTGTGAGAGAAAAAGTGAAATGATTATGGGGTTGGATGTGATATTTTGTTTGGATGTGTTTTTTTTGGTTTTGTAAAACTTTTGTCTTTTAGTGGAAAAAATGAGAAAAAAATTTGGGAACTTGCTTCCCAAACACCACCACATCCTTGATCTTGCAAGCACAGGATTTTTTTTTAATTTTTTTTGAACAATCTTGTATATACAATATTTTATTGCACAAATACTGTACATTTAGTCCATCTACAAAATAATGACACGTAGTCTACTATGGAACATAAGATGAGTCCGTACACCTTGGAGAGCACTTTTCTTTTTTTTTTCTTTTTTTTTTCGGGCCATATGATAGGATGTTTAGGAGTTAGTGAGTTAGAATATAACGAAAGATTCTACATCGACTCGAACCCCGAACCTTTAACTTTCTCACTGTTCCAAGGGACAGTTAAATCCACCACTGGGCCAACTGCCCTGTCCCACTTTGGACAGCACTTCAGCATGAACTTACTGATGACATATAAACAAACACCAACCCTGTACAAAAACCCAAAAGCTGGATCTCAGAAACTATGCATAGTGCAATAGCTCCCAAAAGATGAGCAAAAGACTATATCAAAACTTAGAGCTCCCCTTGAGCCAAAATATGGATCTCTACTTTCTTCAAAGGAACATTTGTTCCACTCTTTTCTCAAAATCCAAAAGCATGAGAGCACCACTCACCACATTTCTCAAAATCCCCTCCTAACACTTCAAATTCCCTCCAAAAGGTCAGAACTTCCAGGTCCAACCTTATGCCATAATTAATTGCCCAATTTAACACGCCCATTTAAGACCAAAACCCTTTTTGCAAAGGACATTACCAAAGAATCCTCAATAAATACAATGCAAACCTTCTTAAAATTATTTATTAAGCCTAGATTTGGACACAAAACATGGGTACAACAATATAGATAAGACAACGCGACAATTTATTTAAAAAAAAACAAGATACTACAAGATAGAAATTCAAGATATGACACGACACGGTAAAATTTTCATATGTATACATTAAAAAAATAACTATTCTTCATTTTTGCATGACAAAATATATATACATTTTATTATTATCAAAATAGTAAAGAAATCATTTTTCTCATTCTACATATTGAAAAAGAACTGTAAAGAAATATCCAAATATCTATATTAGAATTGGACTTTAGAATTCCTAAAATTAAAGAGCCTAGAGCACGAGAGATTAATAGGTATAAATAGGATCCTAAGTTACTTTTTTCGAACTTGCAATGTATTTCATTTGTTTTAAGTGATGGAAACGAGTGTTCCCCAAGTGTATGAAAGTTTACAAAAGAAATTTTAAGTAATAATATGATACATTTGGACATATATCTGACAAGTGCTCAAGATGACACCTTCTTAGTGTGGGTATTTGGATTATCCCATTATGTGGGGGCTCCATGTCAGCCCAGTCTAACAAATATGACCATGTGACAAGCCCTCAGCAATGCCACGATATCTCCTGGATAAACTATTAGGTCGTGCCCAAGCCTAAGCATGGGACATGAATCACCGAGTATGGTACCTTAGCCCATTAACAAGCTCGATGCCTTAGTCACATGCCAATGCACATAGTAGACGAGTCAAAGATTGGGAATCCCAAGTCATGGTCCAAAGCAATACTCAGCTGAGCCAAGGCACTTTCGCTCAGCTACCCTACTAGCGACATGGCCCAACAATCCGTTAGTTCGGCCAAGTGCTCCTTTGCCACATGGCGTGGCCATGAATTCCACTCGTTCAAGTCAAGGTATCTCTGCTCAGCCGCCCCAACCCAATAGCAACATGGCTTGAGTAGTTTGACACCGCCTCTTGGCTTGACCAAAAAGACCCTCTGTTGGGTCATGACTCCCCTATGCCTTATACCCTCTATTAGGGAGTCTTATATAATTCATGATCAATACAACCATTGCTATCACTTTGTTTTCATAGGCTAGGAGCAAGGCCTAGGCACATGTTGCTCAGAATCAATAGAGGATTGTGGTTTAGAGGCTATAGTTAAGGGTTTATCGAGGTCGCCTGACTTGCTCCTTTCTCAAGAAACAAAGGTGTTGAACCAACAAGTGATACCCTCCACGTAAGGTGTATCATACCTACCACCAACCTCATTCTATGATACCTTCTCCAATATATCATAACTACCTCTATTGTTGCCCATAGCATAGACCCCAAGATCTATATCCTATGACATAAGAGTAGGCGAGATACCTCCATTTTGTCAAAGCAAGGAGAGTCAGCCACTTGGTCCTGGATAAGCTAGCCTCTAACAGTCCATCATCCTATATAAGGGGACTCCAATGCAATTGTTGAAGCAAGTTCATCCCTTACTTACCCTACTGTTCCAGCAATGGTCCATCTCCTATCCTACCATCCGCTTTCTCACTAAAGACACCTTAATTCTCTCCTCCTTGGCCTCTACTAACTCATTGGCCACCACACACATTTAGAAATGTCTATGATCACTAATTCTCCTTCTTGCTCTTTTATAACCTCCTCAAGACCCCCCTCCCCCTCCCCTCTTTTTTATACAAAAAAAAACAACATATAGAAATTACACTTTAAGGTAACGTTTGTTTTCCAAATTAAGTTGGATGAGATAATGAGTACGGTGGCATTGAGTGAGTGGGGATTACTACTGTGGTGCCATTAGGTTGGAGGTGTAAGGTAAATTATGTTTGTTTGTGTACTATTATAGTGATATTAATTGATTGAGATTAAATCTATGAAATTACATAAAAGCCCTCATTATGTAGAAAGTGACTATTGTTTTTGTAAAGTAAGGGGCAAAATAGTCATTTCACCCCCAATCCCATAGGATTGAATTTGCAATATCACCTCTGCCATGGGATTGCTACTCCCCTCATTGAAGGGAATTCCTAATCCCATGGGACTCCTAGTCTCATCAGGGTCATTTCTTAAACCAAACATGTTTCTTGTGAGGCTTATATAATTGGTAATCCAATCTCATAGGCTATGGAGGAAACAAATAGAGCCGAAGAGGAAGGGAATGGGTAACAAGGTTCAAACCCTGCTCGTGAGCTAGGTCATTCAATGTCCCAACCACCAATTGGGACGACCTTATTGCTCCCTAACCTCCTCAGGACGTTGACACATTAATTCATTTATTCTCAATGATATTACATTCAAATTTTTTATACCCAACCTAGTAATGAAGGAGCATCAAGTGATAATCTATAAAAATGATAAGACATTTTAATTAGTCAGCTCTTCTGGTTTTCAAGAATCATCGAAGTGATATAAAAGTTGTTATCAAGATTCAAGAAAATTCCTTAAAGACTTTTGGTACCGAGCACAACATAAAGAGGGACGAGGCGAATTACGTACCGATCATCACACTTTTCAAAAGGACTTCAATGAGTGCAGTGGATCCAAGTTGTATCCTAGAAGTTTGATCCCATACCCATATAATCATGCAAACACATATACCATACAAGAGAGCCTAACGTCCTTTCCTACCATAATAAACCCATTGTGGCAAGGCCATGTCCCATGAACTCAAGGTATTCAAACTAGGTTGGCTCTGATACCGATTTGTAATGCCCCCAAAAGACATAATATAAATACATCAATCAAACACAATTAACTTCAGAAGATCCTTTTCGTCCATGAACTAAGATTTTCCCTTTACAGTTCCATGTTCAACATGGTAATTACACATCCATGTATAAAATAGTTCAATAAGCTAGAGGACAACATGAATAGCCCTAAAGGCTTATAACAATTCAAAGCATTGCCTTGTTACAACCAAATATGGACTCACGGTCCTAACAAATAAGCTTGGATCTTCCATATTTACACATCCCTAAGCCTCGACGTTCCAATCCAAAACAAAAAGAGTATATCTCATCTCACTAAGGTGGTGGCACATCACCAATTCCTGAAGAGGTACATGCCCAGTAGAGGTACATTTAACAAAATAGCTAATCATTTGAACATCCAAGTGGCATCATCATAACTCAAATACAATTTTAAAGTTCATGTTCACAAATCACATGGTTAAGAAAAATAATTGCAGTCTTTATTCCATAGCAATAGAAGACCATTCTCATTACAGGAGGTAAACATGTCATGAATCCCTCGTAGGAGCCTCCGTACTACATATGTAAATAGGTTTATAACCAAAACTATTCCCCACATTTACCGACTATTAATATGGCAAGTGGTGGGCACTCAAAACCATCTGCTTTTTCAATTTTGCCAACTATAATACAGCAGGACTACTGGACACTCAAAAATGTTTTCCCACATTCGTTCGGCAATAAGCTCAAGACAGGACAATTGAGCACCTTAACTTCCTGCGCGAGTACCAACATGACACATTGTTCCCAAAAACCGACTCCCTACCTAGACTCATACTCTACTTACCTTCCCCTTTCTACCACATTCCAAGTAATCAAGTGGTCAATAACAGTGTTGTGAAAAGCGCGCCTAGGCGTGCGCCTAGGTGCAAGGCGAGGCGAAGCGCAGTGTTTGTGCCTGGACAGGTCCCAGGCGAGGCGATTTGAGTTAGGCGCGCGCCTTAGACGCGACTCGAACCAGGCGACAGAGGCGCAAGGCGCACGACTAGGCCCGCTTGATTTTTTAAATGGCTCTTAACCACAGATCTGATCTAACAGCTGCGGGGGTGTGTTCGAACGGCTCTTAACCACAGAGGATTATAACTCATGTACAATACGATGCAAATACGACTCAAATGAACCTAATCTGTGTCGTCTCTTCCTCTCTCGCCTCGCCTTGGACTTCGACTGGGCTGCTCAACTTCTTCAACTTCGCAGGTATGTTCGCCATCTTCTTCTGCTTGTTCTTCTTCTTGTTCTTCTTCTCCTCTTCTGGTCTTCTGGGCTGCTGCTCGACTTCGTCTTCTTCGACTTCTTCTTCGGTTCTGTTTTTTTTTTTTTTTTTTTTTTTTTTTTTTTTTTTCCTTTTCCCCTTTTTTTTTTTTTTTTTTTTTTTTTTTTTTTTTTTTTTCTCAATTATGCCTGAGTCTGTTAGAAAAAAAAAAAATACAAATACAAATACAAAATAATTAACTAAAAAAAATAAATTCTGATTCTGATTGAAATAGATTATGCCTTTCAATTCTGCCTTTTTTGTTTTCAATTTTTTTTTTCCTTTATCTGTTAGGGGGGAAAAAAATAGATTTTGATTCTAATTAATTAACTAAAAAAAATACACTGAAAAAAAAAATACAAATAAATAATTATTCACAAATAATTAATTAATACAATGTGCTACTAGTCTTTTTTTTTCCTTTATTTGTTAGGGGAAAAAAATAGATTATGATTCTGATTAATTAACTAAAAAAAATACACTGAAAAAAAAGTTACAAATAATTAATTAATACAATGTGCTATTGGTCTTTTTTTTCCCTTTATCTGTTAGGGAAAAAAAACTACAAATAATTAATTCATCTTTGAAAATTGGATTTTTATTTTGTTTTTGTTTTAATTTTATTGAATGTGAATTATTTTATCTTTGAAAATTGAAATGTTATGTAATATGCACTTTCATGGTTTTGAAAATTATTTTATATTATCTTGAATCTTGATTACTTTTTATTTTTAAAAAAATTGTTTTAGTACTATGAATGATTAGTCTACGTTAATTTTTTTGTTTTTACTTAGACTGTGCGCCTTGCTTCAATAAAGCCCGCGCCTCGCTTCAATAAAGCCCGCGCCTCGCCTTGCGCCTAGGCCCTGAGAGACCTTTAGCGCCTCAGTGCGCCTTGAGCCTTTAAAAACATTGGTCAATAAGACATGAGATGAATAATGAAAATAGAATGCATGGATTATCAATTTCCAAGTCCATAATCTCAACTCAAAACACCTTACTAATATATTCCAAACTCTAATTATCCACACAATCCAAGATTTGAAATTTAATTCCATCCTAGCATCCTATTTCCCAAATCAAAATTAGGGTTTTAACAAATTTGGGGCTTTACTCCCTCTTCATATATGTGATAGTTCTAAACATCAATACTCCTAATTCATAAGTATTTATTTGAAATTTTAAGAAATGTTGGGTACGCTCCTCTTTGTGTTAAACATAAAACTTGATTTTTGCTCACTCGTCAAATAAAGTATTATAATCACAACAACACCACATAATCATCCTCAAAATAAACAGATACTAAGTTAAAAGTTATCCTACCTCAAGGAAGAGCAAGAAAACTAGACTATTTTTGAAAAATCCTTCGCAGAATCCAATTCCAATCAGTAGAAAGGAAGATCCTTCGGTAGACAAGTGATTTTGGCTTGAAACTTAGTGAAATGAGAGATACGAAGAGAGAGAAATGTAGGGTTTCGGACATAGAGAGAGAGAGAGAGAGAGAGGAAGGAAGAGAGAAAAGAAAAGTAAAAGAAATGATCTAAAAAGCGCCTTTTTAAAATGCCGAATTTGCGCAGACTGCTCGAGTGGTTGCTCGAGCAGTGAACGATATCTCTTAGTATCTCTGTTTGCAAAATGAGATACTGGGAGCTCACGATCTTTGCTCGAACGACCACTTGTTTGCTCAAGCAGTCCCTAGGCCTGCAAAACAAACAACTAAGAGAACATGATCTTCGTTCGAGCGATCTTTTCACCGCTCAAGCGGTCACCTGAAACAAACTGTCACAATCTCAACTTGTCGCCAATAGTTTAGTTTTTGGCAACCAACAAGCATATTGTCTCTGATTATGTAAAATTGGCGGCTAATTTCTGTTTAGTTGCCAAAAATACTTTTGGTTGTAGTGAAAAGACCTCACATTGTTGAGGATGGGCTATTCCATATATGGTTGATCAGACTATCAATATCTATCTAATATCTAATATGGGATTGGAGTGTCACACATGTCGAAATTGAATATATCACTACTAAAAACCGACATTTTGTGACGGTCTCAAACGTCGCAAAAGGTCCACATGTTGTCGCAAAAGACTTTTAGAGACAGAGTAGCGACGGCAAATGGAGGATGGCAGAAGGGGGCGTAACAAAAAGTATTTGCGACAGTTACAAACTGTCGCTTTCTTGTAGCCAAACCTTAAAGGACATTGTTTCTTAAAAGACCCTTGTTGGCCAATAGCTATTCCATAATCTCATTTTCTCAGATTACTGTTAGCAGCACAATATAAAAAATAAGGTTAATTACATCAAGACATCTCAACTATTAGAATATCAACTTACCTCCCACATCTATGAACCTATACATTTTGACTAGAGATTTGATGAAAAAATATAACAAGAATTTTAAACACAATTTTAATAGTGGATAAAGAACACTTGACTTCTATATCGATTCATACAATTTTACACTAAATAATGCTACTTTAACAAAGAGGATAAAAAATTTCACTAACATTGTAGGGTTATTAAAGCCAGAAATCTGCTGACCAAAGCCAAAATTTAATCAATATCTCAATCAAAGCAATACAATCAAGAGCTTAATCAAAGTAGAGGCAATTCTGTAGAGCTAGGGCATGAACCCTTCAAATTCAAACTTTACCAAAAATTAAAATCAAATACAATCAGACCAAAAACGAAAATCAAATGCAAAAGCAAATCAGATCTAAACTGAAAATCAAATTGAAAGAAAGTGTAGAGAACATAATAAGCACACAAGAATCGACCTGTTTAACGAGTAGGGTTCTGACAGTGGTGCCTTTGTCGTCGCCGCCGCCACCGTCCGGTGAAAGAAACACTAGCGATCAGCGGACGGAACCGAACATGTCTTGCATTTTCGATTGAAGAAAGCGAGTTCTACTAGGGCTTCGTGAGTGAGTGAGTAGAGTTTGTATAGAGTGAGAGAGGTTTGGGATTAATTTTGGTTCCACGAGAGAGAGAGAGAGTTGGTGGTAGTGGTGATAAATCACGGAGACACGAAAGAAATCCTAGACGCCAAAGAAATCCTTTTTTTCGGTGTTTCAAATGACCGCTGAAAGGAAAGTGAGAAAGAGAGAAACGCGAACGATAGGAATACAAGAAAAATTGGATTTTTAAAAAACATAAAATTGAAAATCAAGCGTTTCTTTTAAGGGGATTTTACCAGTCGGCTTATATTAGTAAAGTCCAGTAGTTTAGTGGACCCCAAATTTGCTGTTAGGTTGGTTAATCAATAGGTATTTTTTTAATATTATAAAAAAAATTGATTTTATATTTATTTATTAATGTATATCCATTATTTTTGTATAGTGATAAATATATATATATATATATATAATAAAAATTATTTTTACATAGCAATACTCTATAATTACTTTTTATGTTGTCCTCAATTAAGAAAATTTAAGGTAAGAAGCTTGGTTGGAAATTGTCTTAATTGTTTTTTTTTTTTAAATTAAAAAAACTTCAAACTGAAAATTTTTTTAGTAGAAAATTTCATGACATGTTAATGGATGTTGTGTAAAGTTATAATATTTTATGTATGTCGTCTCAAGTGTAAATATTTTATGACATATCTTTGTAAGCCGTGAAAATATATATTTTTTACAGAATACTTTTGCATGCCGTAAAAAAAATCGGATTGAAGTTTTTTTAGTTGAAGTTTTCGCAACATGCTAATACATGCCGTGTAAAGTTATAATATTTTACGACTTGAAATGTATGTCATCTTAAGTGTAAATATTTTATGACATATTTTTGTAAGCCATGAAAATTTTTTACGGTATACTTTTGCATATAATAAATATATGAATTAATGACTTACATGATATGTATATTGTTATTAAAAAAGTATTAACGACTTGTAAAAAAAAAAAATCGTAGAATGTACTAATGATGACATGCATTTGATGCATGTCATAAACATGAAGTCGTAAATAATTAGTTTTGTTGTGGTTCTTTTTCTTTCTTTTTTTCTTTTTTTTTTTTAATTTGAAGAGAAGTCTGAAAGTTTAGGGATGAGCAGGAAAGACGGAGGGCGGTGGGAGGAGGGCGTGAAGGTGATTAGGGATTAAGTTTTTATGAAGAGTTTAAGGACCGTCGCTAATGAGCAAAAATAAAATCTTTTGCGACGGACTAACAAAGGGCATCCTTTTTGCCACGCTCTTGTATAATATTATTGTCGTGTAATATTGTCGGGTAACATACTGTCGTGTATAATATTACTTTTTGCTGCGATCTTGGATTTTCCATCTGTAATAATGGTATTTAGAGCATCCTTACCAGCCTACCTAAATTTTACCCTAAAATATTATTAAAACATTCATTTCCTATATTAGGAATCACTTTTTTATCTACTTCTCACAACAAACTTCATATTCTTTCTCTATTCTATAAAAATAATCTTTTTAATTACTTTTAAATTTAAGTTTTTTTTAATAATAAAATAATGAAAGCGCACGCCAACCAAACACCAGCAAGCAACAGCAAAGCAGTAGAGGAAAATAAAGAATGGCGGTCGACCGGGCGGATGAGCAGGTAGTCAACCGATCAGGCCAATTTTGGGCGTTTTCCTTCTTCAGCTACAGGGCACTCACGGGACATCCGGGAGGACATCCCCTGTGTGCATTCAACAAAATAAAATAAGAATTTATGAGTTATAAGGGAGCTACAGTGACATATTTGCGGGGTTGGATAAGGGATCTGCTGGGAAAGGATTTCTGAAGAACCCCTTATAATTATAAGGGAGCTACTGTGGATGTTCTTAGTCAGTGCCTTTTTTGCGATAGTCAAATGTCATCGCAAAAAAATTAATTTGGCGACAGTTTTTTTTACCATTGCAAAAGTTTTGCGACGATTTTCAAACTGTCGCAAAAGTTTTGCAGTTCTATGTCTAAAGCCTCCTTTTTTAATAGTGCCTATTTATTCTTTATTCTTTATTTTTTATTTATTTATTTTTACATAAAACTTGAATTTTTTGCCCATTATCAATAATTTCTTAAATTTCATGCATTTTTTTAATATGTATAATTTGAATGATTCCATGCATTTTATTCTTGATTTCAATTGCCTCATCATTTTCCCAAATTCTTATAAATAAAACACTTGAACTCACATGTTTTTCTCTCTAAATCGTTGTTGGAGGTTAAGTTAGAAAACCATTATTGCTATTGTAACATGTGGTAATGTTGAAATAATGAAATGGTGGTTAAGGTAGCCATGTACAAAGTTTGGGCTAATATTTGATAATGTTGTTGTAAAAGTAGATTGACTGGTTGTGATATGGTACTATTCGTGATGGCAGTTTGATTGTGTGCTTTTGTGATTTTTTTTTCTTTTTGTTCTCCCCCCCTAATGAGTACATATTTTGTCGAATTTTTTTTATCATTAGACATATGGATAATGTGTGGGTAATTTTCTGACCACACTGCCCGCCTAGTAATCAACTGGAGAGCATCGGCAGAATAGATGGTTTTAGCAAACCTGTAACAGAAAGAAAAGGCTCCGGCGGTGGCTCTTTCACCCGGGGGCACTCCGACGATCAAGTCAGTAAATCTCTCAAAGATAATCAAGTGCTAAACTCACAAGCTTGAGTATAAAATTGCGTACCTTAGACCCATGGGGGTGCCTCTCTTTTATAGTTTACTCAATCCTAGTCCCATTAGAAGCCTGACTTCTATAGACTCCAATTCAATACTGACTTTGGATTCTTCAAGAGATAAAGATAAACTCCCTAAGAGCTTTATCCTTATCTTGGCTAAGTCTCCTTGTTGTCCTAGGACTCTTGTCTCTTATCTGCTTATCTCGGATTCCGATATCTTCGGAGATAACCTCGGCAACTCCGAGATCACCTCGGCGTAACTACCACGACACTTGGCACTTCGGCTGACACGTCGGCGTCGCCATGCCACGTGTGCGTCACCATGCCACGTGTTGGTATTCAGAAAATACATCCCCACAACTGCCTCCTAGGTTCTATTACCTCGGCATCCTGAGGTGACGGAACCTATATCTGTATTTTCTTCCAGTACCTCGGCGTAAGAACTCTTCGGCCGAGATCATTCATTTTAGGCCGACATGCCTTCATCAAAGAACAAGAACTCAAACGAACTCCCCCACGCGCATGAGCTGTCATGCACCTCTTCTCAACCGTTTTTCTTACGCGTCTTTACCTTATTGGTCCGTGCCTGCGACGCACTTATTAGCCGTCTTAATCTGTCTACGCTGTCTGACGCATACGTTCCTCCAGGCGCAATAAATGCCCTGTTTTGCCGCCGTTTCAAGTTTTTGATAAAACTTTACTTTCTTTTTTCGTTTCTTTACTTTTGCACTTGATTTTCTGGCTTTCTCTCTCTCTTAAATTTTCCCAAATCCGCCATTACTCTAGCTTCAAGCTCTGCAACCGTCTTCATTCTTCCATTTCAGCGAAGCTTTCGCCGTTCCGTCGTGTCTGTAACCGTTGCCTTACCACGGCGAATTTCATTCCGGCTTCATTTGTTCTGGTAAGCCTCTGTTCCTCTCATTCCCAATTTCTTCTATGTGTTTTTGTTTACCTATTGCCATTATTGCTCTGTTCAAACCTTTGATTTGCTGAACTATTCATCTGGATGTATGATTTCACTCATATTTTGAACATTTGCACTGTTTCAACACTTTTCTTGCCACTGTTCTTGAACTTTTACTTCTGTATTTCTTTCGCTTCTGAGAACCATACCTCTGTTCTTTGATTCTGAAACGTCGTTCTTTGTTTCTTGTTTTCCAAATTTCTGCCTTTAAATTTTTGCCTTCATAGATTTAGGTTTTGGTTTTGTCTATAGAACCTTCAATTTTTAGGGAAAACTGAAACAATCCTTACCAGTATATACCTAGGGTTTTGCCGAGGTCCCGATAACCCCTGAAAAGCATCTTCTTTCTGAAACCTAGCCTTCTGTCTTTAGGCCGACGTTATGGGTATGTGGAGACATAGGGTTAATACCCCGACCAAACTTGAGTACTTTAGGCAGGAGTTCCCCGTCCCTACCGATGTCCACCTGAAACTGGTTGGGGATGATGACTCCATCATGCCTACTGAAAACACCATGCGTCTCTCTATTGTAGCCTTTACTGAGTGTGGACTTCGGCTTCCACTTAACATTCTTTTTCGCAAGATTCTGCATTATTATAAGTTGAACCCTATGCAACTTGCCATAAACTCTTATCGAGTGATTTTTGGTATCATCGCCTTAGCCAGACAAGAAAACGTTAGAATCACCCTAGCCGACATATAGTTTTGTTACACCATGTGCCCCCTTAGCCTGAAGGAAAAAGGTTACGTCTACTACCTTAAGCCGAGGTCCACTGAATTCAAAATTGTAGCCGACCTCCCAGACTCCAACAAGGGGGCTGGAGATGACTACTTCATTGTCTCTGGAAATTGGGAATTTGCCCCAGACGAAGATGTCCATCTATACCCTCTTCCTCGAACGGTTAAAGAGGGCAAGGGTAAGAGCCCAGTGTTATTTACTTAGTTGTTTCTTTTCAAGTCTTCAATATTTTATCTGTTTCTAATGTCTGTTTCTTCTTGTAGACGTTTGCAAGCCAGCGAAAGACTTTCGCCAGTCTTACGTTCCTAGCAAGGACCTGAAAAAGCTCCTGGACTTGCCTGTCCACAAAAGGAAAGCACCTTTTCTTCTGAACTTTATTCCTACGTACAAATCCACTCTGCCCGACGTCCCGAAGAAGAAGAAGAAGAGTCTTTCTCCACCTTCTGCCACAACTCTTCCCACTACTTCCACATTACGAGCAGACCAAAGATCCACTTCTGACCCAGCAGATCTGCCATCTACTTCAGCCCCATACTTAATCCCAATACCAGAAAGAAGACGTCGGCGTCGACTTGTCAAGACTGCTGAGATGGGTCGCCCGAAGCCTGTTGCCCAAGATCTCCTAGCCGACCTCCCAGTTGATGCTGATGCTAAACCAACCCAATCCATGCCCCCACCAAAGCCAAAAAGAACCAAAAAGGCTCAGCCAAAGGCCAAAGCCACTGTAGTTAAGAATGAAGATGCTCTGCCAATTTCACAATTGGCTGGGAGTGAGAAGACTGTTTCTACAAAAAGGTCGGCTGAAACCCAGCCAGCAGAATCTTCAAAGTT